GAACATTCAGCCTTTGGCTCAAAACTGTACCTCCTCCCATGATTTAGCCATGTTCTCGGCGAATTACAAATTTTCAGACCTACTCTGAGTCTTCCGCGAGGAGCTTCCTTCGAGGTCTCTCACGTTAAATGCTTATTTGATGGGAAGGAAGGCCAAAAAACCATTCTTAAGACCGGTACATTCATTTAAGCGAGCTTAGCCTGGTGACAAAGAAAAAAAAGTCGCAAATAATCGTTCCATTTCTCTGTTGTCCTGTCTCGTGGAGATCGTCCCATAAAACGAGGTGAGCGGCAGTCATCAAGATTTTGAACGAAGCTCCCGATTTACCTCAGTGAACAACCAAGGTGACAAGCAATATCTTGGTTCGTTTGCCCTGCGTTTAAAGACCTTATTTGCGAACATCTTCCCTTGAAAATAATTTTACCGCGATGGTGCAGATCAGAGAATATTTTGGAGAAGATCCATGAGAAATCGACAAGATACAAACGCTCTAGTACTGAAATTAAGGCCTCCCGGTCCACTGCCAATAAGTGAATTGGAAGAAAGGTACTGTTTTCAGTGCTAGAGCCGCAGTTTCCTCATGGATAGAGGACAAAGCGCTTTGTCGTTAATCAGTCCCCTTCTCGGGATATGCCACGTATTCGACTTCCTTTTAGGATAACTCATCCGCAATGAGCGAATTAACCCATTGCGCAGGCTTATTCTGCTCAAATGGGTATCGACCGGGATTCTATCGGGGCGATTCCCGTTTGTGCTGACCGAGCCTGTGCAGCAGGTTGGTTCGAACCATGCATGTGAGCTTTGACTCGTCATTATGGCACCGCGGAACGTGCTGTGCAGAAAGTTAGAAAATACTTCTGAATGAGAGCTTCCATCAAATCATAGCTGTGAATTTGTGGTTTATCAATGTTCACGGTACTGACTAGATATGTCGAACATTGCAATCTAAGACCTTTATAGTACCCTACATAAAAAAGTGATCAAAAACCAGATGAAAATTGGTAGACCCGCCCCTTAGACCCAGAAATGAGGAGCCCACCTGAGCAAGAGATATTTGTGCAACGAATCTGATTATGACATAAAGGCAGACCAAGATCAACCTGATGATGATGTGGACGCGCGAAGAAAGGGAAATTCATCGAAAATCAAGCAACCGTGAATGATCAGTCAGGATATGCAAGAAGGGCACATTCCTTGATAGTTGAGAGTTTTGGCTCGGCTTGTGTAAAAAGAGAAAAAAGAAATTTTGTTAAACATCATATAACTGTACAATTTTATTACACCAATAAAAGTGAAGAGCAAAGAGCTTCGAAAAGTACACAAAACGACAATTTTATGACATTCGAGTCATCGAACTTTTTCTTTCCAATGACGCATTCCTGTGATGGATGTGCAACACACCGCAGAAGTAAAAATAAGTAAAAATACGGTCTAAATGGAATTGAATAGTAAGATACCCTTGAGGAAACTGCTCTGTTGCACCGCTCCAGGAGCAAGATAGTCAAGATACTCCGAGATTGAATTCGCTGTCTGATTCTCGGAGAACGAACTCGCTTGATTTCAAATCGGACTGAAACCTCTCTTTCTGACGAGGTACTCTATCCATGGGGATCGAATTAGGAGCAGGGAGGCTAGCGCAAGACATCTGATTGAATAGTTGAAAGTTGATGTTCAAAATGCATAGGATGAAGTTCCAAAGGATGGGTTCAAGGCAGCAGTGAAAGCCTGCATGCTCAGTTCGCTGAAAACGGATCAGAGAGCCAGCAAGGGTGGCTTAACATCTTGCCACACCATAAGATTCAATCCCGTCTACGTTTGTGTCACTCTGTTTACTGTCCTTGTTTCGACGCAGTGACGGTTAAGAAACTAAGAAGGTGAACTTCCTGTTGAGAATCTTTTTACCCTAATTTGTGATTGTATCTCTTGTGAAGACCGAATATTCATGGAATTTGGTAAAGTATCACAATGGCGTATTGAAAAGGGGGTATGTGTCACTACGTGCGTCCGAGGATGCGTGCGGCAAACTGCGCGACGAAGTTTGAACGACTTTAGCCCCTGTCATTGGGGCCCAAATTTGAAGGAGAGTAGATTAGAAGGATCATCTGACCCTACTGAACAACTATACTTCGAGTATGTGCCCCGAAGATTGACGTCAGAGTCGTACAAACCGTCACGAACTTCGCCGCGCAAGTTGCCGCTGCACGCGATGTCAGGGGATAGTGACCATCTCCCCTGAAAAGATTAAGTGAGACCCATCTCAAGTGTGTAGTTGAGCGCACTACCGTAGTAGGCTGCTTAAACCCTCCGTATCTTGGGAGTCAGGTTAGCTTCCGCCATCTGAGACTAAGACTAGGTGTGACACATGTAACGATTATGCACTTTTGGGTCCAATTCCCCTACTTTCACTTTCTTAGAATCCCACTGCGTATCGCCTACTACTCTACTATCAGAGATAAATAGGTATGGTGAAATTCCACAAAGATCAGAATGTTTCGGACAATGTAAGTTATACTTCAAAACCTTTCTTATATTAGGTTGAAGCATAATTATAGCGGATTTTTGTCAGCAAATTTGGCTTAGAGAAACGATAGAGATATTTGGCAAAAACATGCTCGAATAATTACTACGAAACATATCCACCATATATGCCAAGCATTGCTTCCCATTTGCTAGGCAGTCAATTCCACAGGCGAAGAAGTTCCGATCCTTGGAGGCAACCACGCCTTGACGTTGGCCACCAAGCCATCCACTTCATCGACAGTTGCGTACGTTAACCAATTTTTTAAAGGGCGATTGACGTGATAGTCCGTAGGAGTATCTGCTGGTGAACAGGGCGACCGCAGAAGCAGATTCCATTCCTTGTTCGGCTTTGGCTGACTGATCCATCGCCAAGAAGTTCATCGAGATTACGTTATGAGTGGGCCGCCTTCCAACATTTCTCGAAGAAAAAGAGCATAATTTGACGTATATGAAGATGACTCTCTAGACATATTTCTGTTAGGAGAAGCGAGAAGCTTATTTCTACAAAAATCCCCAATTTAAAAGTTTAATTCTATCGAGAGAAAAGAAGCCGCAAAAAAATCCGCAATAATTATGCATCAACCTGATAGTTAATCAGAAGTTTTTTATAATTTACCGTTACGTGTTCACCATATATCGTGATAACGGTTCGAAAAATCACTTGTTTATTTTCATCTGTTCTTGCCTAAGAATGTCTTTGACCCTACCCCTTGTCAAAAGATCGGGACTGCTTTTCGACACTTTTTTAGTTTTTAGAACTTTCGGCAAGAAATAAAGAGGGCTCGCTGACAGCGAGCCCAGTTCCTGAGTATGGGCCATTTGACAGGGGCTTCCCATGACAAGAAGCCCATCCACTTGTATAGCTACACTAAAGTGAAACATGCTTTATTCTAACTTCAAAGTTGAGTGTTTTTTAGATTGTACAAAGGGCGCTATTTACTCCCTAAAACCCTAGTTTCACAAAATAAAGCCAAGTTAATCAGCTGGCCTTGTCGACGGCAAGAAGTTAAACTTCAAAGACAGCTTGACAAACAAGAATCTAGAGTGTTAAGCTCGAGAATGCCAAACCTCTTGGATCCCTTACTGGATTACGAAAGTTTGACCCGCTAAACACGAATATCGCACCCGTCCTCCGTGCAACATCATGACGGCGGTATTTTCAAGGCGACGGTATCTGTCGCGTTAGCGCCAACTCCGCGGCAAGTCTAAAGATGCTCTGCTGAGCGCGTAAAAGCAGAGCAACCAGATCACACTGAACTCTTTTAAGCAATGACATTAGTGAGTTGAGTTTGAGTGGGTTTTTCACTCACAGAATGGAACTTAAGGAGCCTGCCCAAAAATGACTGAAAATGGAGCAACGGAACTTCTCCCCCGAATTCCCATGGCCTACGGCAGTGGTTCCGCGGCGACCCCATGTATCCTTCACTGAGAATGCGAATCTTTCCCTTCCCAAGGGCACGACACGCCGTTCGAGGAGAAGATACCAGACTCATGAAAATGAATGGACCATCCTATGTTATAATATGACTATTTTCATTATATGAAGCCTTACACTAAAGAAAATCGCGATGAGAAAAAAAAGCGTAATTAACGATACTCACCTCGTGACATATTCATTGTGACATTTTGTACTCCGTTTTTTGACTCCCTTTTTCGTGGCAAGACCTACACTTTACTCTAGTTCAACTCATCTTCAAATTTTCTTAGCTAATAGCAGGGCTACGATGTTGAATCTAACTCCTTGGATTTTTATGAGCACTTATGCCACAAAGAGAGAAAAAATGCACGGCCTTTACAAGGGATTCCTACTTTACACCTCAAGGATAGCTACTTATATGAGGAGACCCTTTGAGGGTAAAGTTGAGCGATTTACCATCACTGCTGAGGGCTGGGTGTGGTGCAGTAGGATTGAAATTGTCGCGTCGCGGCAAGAGCAACGCCGCGCCGAAGCAGCATGCAACAGCAAGAACGAAGCACAGGAACAAAGGAACTAGTGGTAGAATCATTCCTCAAATAAGGATTGTATATCGATTGAGGTGTATGAAGGACGCTAGAGGTGAAATAACAGCGAAGGAATCGTCCGCGACATCCGCGTGCGGCGAATCGAATACAGAAAACCGTTCCTACTGCCCGTCTTCCCTGAGGGCTTAATCGTAATACGGGTGAGTAATTTTGATAGCACTTTTATCCGCGAAAAAGGTAAAGGGTCTTTGCCATGAAACATTCTGATGATTTAAAGAATTCATTAACTTAAACATAACAGGCCACATAAATGATTTCGAGCCTGGTAATTTGGGCCACTTGAAACTTGAAAATAATATAATTGGCCTTCTATACAGTACTATAAGATTCGCCTAGTACTAACTACTGAAAATGCTCGAAAAAAACAATGTCTAAACTGTAAAATCAAAATTCCACTCAGTTAACGAAAGTATAACAAAAATAAAGAAAACAACCAGCTATAACAATTCAGATCAACCTTAGACAATCTCTACAGTGCCGCCTGCCTTTTCAAGTGCAGCTTTCATTTCCTCCGCCTCCGCTTTTCCCATATCATCCTTCACCACCACGGGCGCTGTTTCCACAAACTGGAAATGGGTCGAGTATTATACAACCCTTACATGAACGGAATATAAGCGCTAACCTTCTTCGCTTGTACGAGATTGAGACCAGGAACGAGGGAGCGAATCTCCTTGATGAGTGCGATCTTCTTGGCGTCATCAAATTTGGTTAACTTCACACTAAACGTCATTTTCTGCGGTACATCAGGTTCCGCTGGAGCGGCTGCTTCTATAAAGAACATTATGCGACTCCAGAAAACTCAAATAACTCAGAAGCCGCACAGAGATCAAGACGTGTGTTCAGTACAGATGATTATGGGAATGACTGTTAGCTTTATACAGCACAACTAAAGTTTGCATTTCACCCATTCCTTACGGGCCCAAACCACTGATGAGCCCAGGGGAACGTGGAAGTGGTGGATCGTAAGGTGAAGAGGCAACGAACCAACTTTTATTTCATTTTAGTTATTGTCACTTTGTTACGTTTTTTCATATTATCTAACAAGCTCTACTAATTCCAATTTGTTATACTTTACTTATTGTTTCTTACAATAAGAAAAGTCTGTAATCGCACAAAAAGCTGGAGTTCATTCTTCTAACTTTCTGAATCACGGGAATTTTACCGTTCAAACCACTTTGGATACATTCAATCGGAGGAAAACTACCACACAGAACTTACAGGAATTTTCAGCTAGTCAACGATGAAATCGAGCTGATCCCATCAACTAGCCACACATTTCTATGTTCCTTCAAGGCAAAATCGAAATCGTCCTAACTTATTTGGCTCTTTCTGAGTCATTAAAGCCGAAAGCACACTTATGACCATTCACACGACTATCCTCCAAATCACAGAAAAATGAAATTATATGATTTAGAGAAATATATTTTTTTGTCATTGCTCCTCATTTCCTCTAAAGATTCAGGTGTGATTCGAAAGGCAGTCGAGTGAATTAACGGAAGGATGTCCTCGACTCTACAGGCACGAAAGAAGGCTATCTTGACGAAAGTCAGTAAATAAATTTGATCTGGATTCAAGAGATTCAATTATAATCAACGAAGACGACAAAAATCCTGAAGAGATTGTCAGATTGACGATCATGTGTTGATTAGCAGCTTTGTAACGCTGATACAAAAAACCCACAACACAGGAGCTAACGGGTCATTTTTATATCCTAGAAGCTCAAATAATCTGATGAACAGCATGGCCAGTACCAAAGCCAAAATCCAAATTTCGCAAGATGACACAATCACACAACAATTTACTGCAATACTTGTTTCTAGCATTAAGGCAGCACTATTGCGTGACCATGTCTTATTATATTGGATAATAAAATGAATCTGAGTAGTAAATTGCTCCCCTCGACAATTAACCAAAAACAGGCACCAAAAAAAGAAAGTAAGATACGAACGGAATTTTGGGTACCTGCAGATGCTGCTGGTGCCTGAGCAGCCATCATCATTCCTGCTGGCATCATGGGCTGGTCAGCGATATTGAGGCGCTTTTTCAGCGCTCGGTTGAGATCTGCCACCTAAAATACCATCATAGATTAACAAGTACTTTAAATCGAAACAAGGATTAAAACTCACATCAATTAGACTCAAATTGGCTATCTCTTCAACAAGAGCAGCAATTTTCGGCGAAGGAACGTGTTCCTCAGGTGGAGGTGGTGCAGGAGCTCCTTCGTTAAGAGGCAAGCCTGAAACAAACTGATGCTAGCCAAAGGCCAATAAAAGCTTTCGAGAATTTTCAACTCTCATTTGTGCCCATACCTTCGGATTCGTTTGTAATGGTTATGACACCTGAGCGCCTATTCGGTTTGTATCATAAATGACGGCAGTTAGCCGACATAGTAGTCAGCGCTATTATATGCCTATTCGGGCCTAGATCGGTCCTGAATTGACTCCAGGCATACCCAGACGTAGTACTGTTCGCTACTACCCCAATTTTGCATAACATCCTTACTTCAGCATTAAGGATAAACTACTTACTCACGTATTTCATATGTTCCTAATCATTACTACCTTTCAGTTCCCTTGTTTCAATCCCAAAAAGCCGTATTCAAGTGGTCCATTTCAGACATCGAAGTACGCTAATCATTTACGACTCTAAGCACATACTTATAGTATTCTAACGCTTTTCTGGATCCATAAAAACTATTGGTTTTCAACCATCTCTCCCTTCGAGAAAGTACCGGAGCCAGAGTTTCTAGAACCATTTTGTTTGGTGAACAAGGGAAGTTCAAACGAATATACGAATTGGCTACAACTTTGAAACACTTTCTTAATTCGTGAGCAAAAAGTAGTAAATACTGCTGGATGTTGATCAAATCAAGATGAAGTAAATTTTGATATAACGCTGCTTTTAATAATTGCTTTTACACAAGTGATGGCCCTGAGAACCGATCTAACGTTGCATTGGATAAAATATTGAAACGACAGATAGGATTGCAAAGATGCATCTGATTATCGCTAAGAAGTTGGCTGGAATGCACCACGTTACCCAGTAAAGAGGTACTGCCATAACCTTCTGAACCAACCAACAGTATCTCGTCAGCTTAGCGAGTCGCTGAAAAGCGCGTAAATGCTTTTAGGGAATGATAGGCCGTAACGAGAAAGCGCACGCCTTCTCCACTACGCGTTGACAATGTGCATGAAAAAAGAATGACATTCAACTTTTGATTACGCATAGCGGAGCAACCTACGCCTGATTCACAAGAATGATTTTAATTGGTAAAGGCTCCTAAGGTCAAACACATTCGAGTGTTGGGTCAGTATGCTTCGTCCACTAGAGCAAGTTACATAAACAAAAAAAAACAGAGAAGAAAATCGCAATAATCAAAGGCAGCTACTATCCAACTTGACGATGGAAACGTTATTGGAACCTGCGGCGTAATAACGCAATATCAGCTCTATGGTTTGGCAATGTAAAACTACCATTCTTTATTATTATCACCAATCCCGTCGCCCGGCTTACTCCGGGCCT